CAAGACACTAGCATAGGCAGAGACTTCTTGGAAAAGACCCCAGAAGCAAAGGCAATCAAAGCAAAAATAGACATATGGGATCATCAAGCTAATAAGCTTCTGCACTACAAAGGAAATATTCAACACAATGAAGAGGCAAGTGACAAAATGGGAGAAAATATCAGCAAACTTTGCAATGGATAAAGAATTAATATCCAAAATTTATAAAGAGCTCAAGAAATTGAACAACAACAACAAAATGCAGTTAAGAAACAGGTAAAGGACGGGGCCAGCACTGTGGCATAGCATGTAAAGCCACTGCCTGCAGTGCCAGCATCCCATATGTGTGCCATTTCAAGTCCCAGCTGCTCCACTTCCCATCCAGCTCTCTGCTAAGGCCTGGGAAAGCAGTGGAAAGTGGCCCAAGTCCTTGGGCCTCTGTTCCTGTGAGGGAGGCCCAGAGGAAGCTCCAGGCTACTGGCTTCAGACCAGCACAGCTTCAGCCATTGCAGCCATTCAGGGAGTGAACCAGTAGATGGAAGGCTTCTCTATTTCTCTCTCTGCCTCTGCCTCTTTGTGACTCTGTCATTCAAATAAATAAATAAATAAATCTTTAAAAAAAGAAATGGGCAAAGAACTTCAATATGCATTTTTCAAAAGAAGAAATTCAAATGGTTAACAGACATATGAAAAAATTCTGAGTATCACTAGCCATCAGGGAAATGCAAATTTAAACAACAATGAGACTTGACCTCAACCCAGTTATAATGGCTCTCATATATAGAAAGAAAAAGCAATACGAAATGCTGGTGAGGATGTGGGAAAAAGGCACCCTATCCACTGTTGGTGGGAATGCAGAATAGTACAGCCATTGTGGAAGACAGTATGCATATTCCTCAGAAGTCTGAGAATAGATCCACCATGCAATCCAGCCATCCCTCTCCTGGAAATTTACCCAAAAGAGATGAAATCAGCATATAAAAGAGTTATCTGTACCCCCATGTTTACTGTAGCTCAATTCACAATAGTTAAGGTATGGAATCAATTCAGATGCCCATCAACTGATGACTAGATAAAAAAAAAAAGACGAGGTATATATACACTATGGAATATTACTCAGTTATAAAAAAGAATGAAATCCTGTATATTGCAACTGGAAACCATTCTACTTAGTGAAATAAGCTAGTCCCAAAAAGACAAATACCATGTTTCCCCTGATCTGTGGTAACTGAGTACAAAAAATTTGTAATGTATATTAGCAAAATTGATACTTTGAGAATTGATTATTGTTTACACCCCTTACCACTGCTGTTGTGGAACTTTTTTTTTTTACTTTTTGTTCAATCCTTTACTTAGTGGAGGGTGAACCTTATGATTATAAAATAAACTGAAGGTATGTCATTGTAAAAATTAAAGGACGGAATGGGAAAGGAAGGAAGAGGGAGGGTGGAAGCATGGGCAGGATGCAGGGTAGCATGGGAAGTAGAACTATGCTCATCTATGTATATATGAAATACATGAAATTTGGTCACCTTATATAAATTTAAAAATTCTTAAAAATAAAAATAAACAATTTTATACATGTGAATTGAGTCAAACTGGTATATAATGTTGCTGAGTTCTTCAATCCCCTTCCATATTTTTGTCTGTGGATTTTAACTGTGTTAGAATAACTACTTATTCTAACAGCTTTGACAATCTACTCTAACAAGTCCAATTACAATTACAGATTTTCTTTTAAAAAAAAGATTTATTTATTTATTTGAAAGGCAGAGTTACAGGGAGACAGAGGTATGTGGGTAGGTAGGTAGGTAGAGAAAGACAGAGACCGGGGGGCGGGGGGGGGCGGCGGGTCTTCAATCCTCTGGTTCACTCCCCAAATACCTGCAACTGCTAGACCTGGCCTACCAGCTTTTTCTGGGTCTCCCACTTGGGTGCAGGGGTCCAAGGGCTTGGGTCATCTTCTATTGGTTTCCTATGCCATAGCAGAGAGCTAGATCAGAAGTAGAGCAGCCAGGACTTGAACCAGCGCCTATATGGGATGTCAGCGCTGCAGGTGGCAACTTTTTCAGTTACACCACAGTGCTAGCCCCAATTATAGATTTTCAGTATCTCTTTCAAGTTAAGTTTGATTTTGCTTCCTAATCTTGAGATCATGTTATAAGTTTCACAAAAATTCAGTATTGCTATATTTCCTTTCAATTATTCTCTTAAATGTTATTAAATATCCTTATTTTTCTCCAGTAATACTTATTTTAATGTCTACTATGTCTGATATTTATATAGCTATATCAACTTACTTTTGGTTAGTATGTATATATCTTCTTACATTATTTTATTCCCAACTTTTATGTGACCCTAAGCTTAATAATTATTTCTTTGTGTATTCTTCTGCTTAATTATTTTGCTTTTTTTGCATCCATATCACTCAATGCTCACCACAGCAATACAATATGGCCTGTTAGAATGGGAACTGGAAGTTAAAATAAAGTTTATTTAAAGAAAAGCAAGATTTCTGGCACACCTGAGCTTATGAAATATAATCCATATTTACCATACCTACTTGTAGGGGTGGGAGAGCAAGTACCTGGCCAAGAACAAGGAACTGGGAGTAGTTATAACAGCAAAGTGTGTAATAGAACAGACTCCCGCCTGACTCTTCTAGCTGCTTGCCAGCAGAGGCCAGGACAGCTGTTTCATATCCTATTTGCTAAAACCAGAGAAATGTCTACTCATGAGTAGTATGGAGATGAGGGCAAAGAGGATGGATCTCTCTGAAACCATAGAAATTAATTTCCTAAAATAATGTGCATGAAATAATAAAGAAAAATATCTAGAAGGAACAAGTGTCACTAACACTGTGGGGAGCAACTGGGAGCAACTCGGACTAGACTGTTACTGGAATTAAGACTTATTCTATGCATCTGCTCTCCCATAATATGGCGCTGGGAGAGGAGAAAACAGCTTCTACGCAGCTGCCTCTTGCCAACTTGAGTGATGACCTCCAGGAGCTGATCCTGCTCCTGATTGAAGGAGAGCAGCGTACTCGGCGTGTGGGCAGCCGAGTTGGGATTGGTGGAAGAGGACTATAAAGGAGGAGAGAGACAACATGCACCAGGAACATCTAAGGGGAACACCTGAGGAACACCTGTGCAGCCCCTGAGAGAGCCGGCCGGCGGTGTGCTGCTCCCCCGCGGAAGTGGGGGAAGTGGCTAGGGGGAACCGCCCTTCCACGGAGGTGGAAGGGATGGTAGCCAACCCGGAAAGAACCAGCAGCAAACCCGGGGAGGGCCGAGCAGACAAAAGAACAGCGCAGGGTCCTGTGTCGTTCCTCCACGAAGACGGGGAGTGATAAACACCAGTTTAAAAAATAGTCACATCCCAGCCTTGTGGGATGTAGATCATTTGTAGATCTTTTATGTTAGAGTTACAGCTCAATGGGTTTCAATTTACAGTTATTATGATGTGAATAGTGCAACCTATAATTAAACTCTGAACTTGTCTTACATTTTCCAGACCACCTCTGGATGACCAAACCTTTTATAATAAATTGCCAACGAAGTCCTGAAAATCCATCCTCAACATGTGATTTGGTGTAGAAATCCAGAAAGTGAAAAATATTCAGCAACAAGCCACTTAGTTCAAATGATCTAAAGAGGGCCAAAGAGCTAAATAGTGACAGGACTATTTTCCTTCATGATAATAAAAAACATCATGCCTATTCATATAGGGGATTTATTTTTCAAAATATTACACCAAGAAATACTTGAATGCAGTAAGTATGTCAATGCAGCTGTATGGTTAAATGTTATAACCTCTGAAGTCAAGAAATTCAAATTTATAGTTGCCACATTAAGCATAGATGTTAAAGCATTAAAGTTAACACCATATACAGTCATATAAAATATTGCATGTGCAAAGGGGCTGAGTTATGTTCATACTGGGAACCATAATTTAGAATTTCTTGACTTCTGAACATGTAACACATCACAGTAATTGATCTAGCTCCTTGGAGCTAATGTAAAATATCTTGTTAACATGTTTTCTATCCAATTCTTTCATCATTTACCTTTTGGTTCTTAGAGAAATAATTCATCATTCTCAAATGTTTTTACGCACCTGCACAAAGCTAATAAAGCAATGGAAAACCCAATGCCATAAGAATTGAGAGAAAGGATTTGCAAATCACATAAAAATAATGTTAGTGTGGACATGGAATCTGGATCATGCAAGATGACACTTTGCCTTTGGAATTCTGTTTGCTTTGTCTTGTCACAATTATAGCAGCATAATTCTCCTGGATACTGTCATGTACAGGATATAATGAAGAATTTCTATAAACTGTTAGATCATAAAGCGATGTGGAAGGAAAAGAGAGAATGGCCTGTTCCACGATGGGATCTGACATGTTCATTTCCTGGTTATTCAGGAGAATTGTACTCTTTAAGGAAATTCTCTGCCAAGTTTTAGGGCTGTATGCACCTCCATCCAATACACTCCTTGTCCTTGTTTGCTTCCAAAGAGTCTTCAATTCACTACTTACCAACTCACTTCCCCTTAGGGTAGTCTCTACTGCCTTGTTCCATGCCAGTTAAGGAAAACCAACAGTTCTAAGAATATTAATATTCCCCAGGTAATGCTTAAAGCACCTTATTAATTCATTTAACCTAGCAGACCAGCCTTGGCAAATTAATAGCCCACTGGCCTAATCTGGCCTGCTAGCTTTTGATAAAGAAAATGTTTAAATAACACAGTCACACTCATTCATGTAAATATTGTGTATGTTGTCTATTGCTGCTTCCACATAACAACAGGTTTGAATAGCTACAGCACATGTAGGTAGCAAAGCTGAAAATAGTTACTCTCTGTTGTTTATTGAGAAAATCTGTCCACCTGTTCCCCTCTGTGTGACCAGCAAACCTAGCTCTCTAAGTCCTCTGTGAGAAAGTTAGAACCATTAAATAGAAGTCTTGATTTTTAAGGAGGGTGAAGATATTTCACAGAGTAAAACTGTCCCATACCTCATATTAATGCCTTAAGACTTGCTTTTATCATTATGTAGCAGGCAGTGGAAACCCAGCTCAGTACAAGTCCCACTCATCACTTTTTGTCTTTCCACACTCTGTTCCTCGCTTATTTACCCTTGCCCAGGCTTGAGTGTTTGCAATTTTCAATCACAGACTCAGCAACAGCTACCAACACCTGTAAGAAGGAAGAAAATAACATTCAAGCAGGTGGGTTTATCTATATGATCCGTTTGCAGCTAAAAACAGGGAACTCTGTATTTCACAAACATCCCTGGAACAAAAGCCTGCATGCAGAGTTCTATTATATTTTCCACAAAGGAACATATGCTTCCCTGGCACAGAAGAGAAGGAAGCTTCCTCTAGCCCCTCCCAGAACCTCCCTCTTTGCCCAGAAGCTACTCCCTAGGACAGCCATGGGGCCTTCCCACCAGCATATGTTGGCTACATCTTCACATTGCCAAAACATCTGGGGTAAAAAAAAAATGCATTTAATCATTCAGATTATTTTCTCCTGAAGCAATGCCAAACATCTGTCTAACTAGAAACAGCTGTGTACTAGGCAGCTCTGGCAGCCATAACAAAATACCATAGGCCGGGGGGCTTAAGCAACTGACATTTGTTTTCTCACAGTGTGGAGGCTGGGAGTCTGTGATGAGGGTGTCAGCATGAATAGGTTCTAGTGAGGGCCCTCTTATAGGCTTGTAGAGGGCAGCCCTGCCACCAGGTCCTCATTTGGCAGAAAGAGAGTAAGTTCTCACGTGTCTCCCTTCTTCTAGGGGTACCAATCCCAACATGAGAGCCCCACTCTTAGGACCTCATTTAAATAAAATTACCTTCCAAAGGCCTCATCTCCAAATATCATCACCTTGGGGGTTAAGGCTTCAACATAGGAAGGGAGGGGGTGGGGAGTACAATATATAGCAAGCTGCATCTCCAGCATTTAATAGGTCAGACCTTTCCTCACCACAAGGGATGTTCCTGGCAGAGGTTCAGTCCACTAGATTACTAGAAGCCTCCAGTACCCCTCACCCACATAAACCTCAAAAGGCCCTTGATCCTAACAGCATCCTCCTATGAGCCACTCTCAGAGGAAATGCCACACCAAAGCAATACCCATTTTGGCACCGTAGGATTTGTGCATTTTGAATTTTTCCCTGGGATGAGTATAAACCCGGTCTTGCTGAGCCAAGATATATGTGTACCTGATATTTCCTGGTATTCAGAATGCAGAGACTAGGGAAACATGTAATTTGGAATTCTAGAACAAAGTAAAGGACACATGATCAGATACCTTGAGAATATCTCTTGTCAAAATTACTGAGTAATAAACCACCCAAAAACTCATTGGCTAATGTCACTCCCCCTCTTCGCGGAGGAACGACACTAAACCCTGCCTAGGCTTCATATCCGAGTCACGGCACCATTATGTCGGTGCCTCTGCTCTGCTTGCTAGAGTTGCTCACAGGTGCTTACAAGCCCTATCAATCAGGCAAACCGAATCCGGGTCCTCTCTTCGCCATGCTGTGAGGAGGTTTTTAGGCACTGATGCGTGCCTGTGTTCGGTGCCCTGCAGCACATGCTCTACTCTGCTAGAACTGCTTGCAGGTGCTTACAAGCCCTACCAATCAGGCAAACCGAATCCAAGCCTTCTCATTGCCGTATTGTGGGGAGACTTATTGGTGTTGATAATGTGCCTGTCTTCGGTGACCTGCAGCGGGTAAGCTGCTAGCCGCTGGCAGGCACTTATCGTCTAATCAGGCAGACCGAATCCAAGCCTTCTCATTGCGGTATTGTGGGGAGATGATTGATGTTAATAACGTGCCTGTCTTCGGTGACCTGCGGTGCATAAGCTGCTAGCCGCCCACAGGTGCTCACCACCTCCCTAATCAGGCAGACCAAATCCAAGCTCTCTCATTGCCATGTTGAGGGGAGGCTTTATTTTTCTCTATTTCTCTATCTCCGGGCATTCCTATCTCTCCTATTTTACTTCTATCTACCAGCATTCCTATTTTTCTCATTTTACTTCTAAATTTCTGTTTCTCTTATCCCTGCGGCATCCCGACGCCCGCCCCGAGGCTGCTTCTCTGTGCCTCGCCCCGCGGCGGCTTCCCAGCTCTGAGCCGCTTCAGCCCGCGCTTCTCTCATCTGCGCGGCTTCCCGGCTTCGCGCGCGCACTCCGCGGTCTCCGTGCCCCTTCACGCCCGCACCATGGCCTCGCACTAGCCCCACGTTCCCTATCTATTCACACCCCGTGCTCTCTCTGCACGCGGCAGCTTCCGCGAGTCACACAGTGTAGCTTACGTTTCCGCCACTAGCATTCAATCTAAGTTCCCCAGGCTAACCTGGCGAATTCAACCTATAGCTTACGTTTCCGCCTTATGGTTTGGCTTCCCGTCTTTTGCTCCCCGGGCTAATCTGACAGATACCAACCTGGCGGCCCACGTCTCTGCCTCTGGTTCCAGATTTTCGCCTTTTGCTCCCTGGGCTGACTTAAAGAATTCCAAACTGGCTTACGTCTCCGCCTCGGCCTGCCCGCCGCGGCTTCAATTTCCCTAACATTTTTCTCTACCCGGTATGTTTCCCTAAGTTTTCTTCCAACAATATTCCTCCCTCATTTCTCCTGGCCTCTCCCTACAGTCCGTATCCGAGTCTAAGTTTCTTCTAGGTTTCACTTTCACTTTCAACCTGCAGTCCGTATCTGAGTCTAAGTTTCTTCTTGCTTTCACTTTAAATCCTAACTTCTTTCCCACAGTCCATATCCGAGTCTATGCCTAGGCTTTCAATAGCTTCTTCTGGCACCTTTTCTGTCCGGCTTTTCCCTAGGCTCTTTGCTAGTCTCTCTCTCCAGTATTTTCCACTTCTTCCCGTTTCTTCCCTCCTAGGATTCCTATCCGAGTCACGGCACCATTATGTCGCTCCCCCTCTTCACGGAGGAACGACACTAAACCCTGCCTAGGCTTCATATCTGAGTCACGGCACCATTACGTCGCTCCCCGTCTTCGTGGAGGAACGACACATGACCCTGCGCTGTTCTTCTGTCTGCTCGGCCCTCCCCGGGTTTGCTGCTGGTTCTTCCCGGGTTGGCTACCATCCCTTCCACCTCCGTGGAAGGGCGGTTCCCCCTGCCACATTCCCCACTTCCGTGGGGGAGCAGCACACCGCCGGCCGGCTCTCTCAGGGGCTGCACAGGTGTTCCTCTTAGATGTTCCCCTTAGATGTTCCTGGTGCATGTTGTCTCTCTTCCTTTATAGTCTTCTTCCGCCAATCCCAACTCGGCTGCCCACACGCCGAGTACGCTGCTCTCCTCCAATCAGGAGCAGGATCAGCTCCTGGAGGTCATCACTCAAGTTGGCAAGAGGCAGCTGCGTAGAAGCTGTTTTCTCCTCTCCCAGCGCCATATTATGGGAGAGCAGATGCATAGAATAAGTCTTAATTCCAGTAACAGTCTAGTCCGAGTTGCTCCCAGTTGCTCCCCACAGGCTAAGTGTTTTACTATTGCCCAGTGGGGTGGTTTAGCTGACCTACTGCAGATGAGGCTGACTTGGGGGCTCACTCATATGTCTGCATTCAAGTGGCAGGTGGGTTAGGCTGAGGTGTGGCTGGTCTAGCATAACCTAAGTCACAGATCTGTCAGTTATCTACCTGTCATCCAGGACCACAGGGGTGACAGGTGGTTGTCCAGCCAATGGCAAGTTTCCAAGAGAAAGCAGAACATTCAAAATTCTCAGGACTGACACGTTTAGACTTTGGTCATCTCTATTTGTCAAAGCACAGTGTGTGACCAGCCCAAATTCTAAGGCTAGGAAATGAGTTCCACCTTTGATAGGAGAAACCACAACTTGCATAGGAAGTAGCAGATACAGGAAGCAGTAGCCATCTTGGCAGTCTACCACAGGAGCGTCCAGGAAATAGTGGCTGCTCCAAGAATGAATGAACTCCAGAAAATCACTTACTTCTTCTTTCCCCATCACTGTCTTTTTGTCACTAGGGAGCAGGCATGGAGCATTGAGTGGTGGAAAAGAAAACAAGAGGGATTGAGTTTTGTTTTTCACCCTGATGTCAAAGAACTGTGTCACCTTCAACACATCATTTTCTCCCTCTGAGTCTCTGATTTTTCAATGTAAAAAGGAGGGTTATATTACTTAATTTTTTTAAATTTTATTTATTTATTTATTTGAAAGGCAGAGTGACAGAGAGGTAGAGAGAGAGAGACAGAGAGAGAGAGATAGACTTCAATCCACTGGTTCACTCCACAGATAGCTGCACCAATCCAAAGCCAGGAGCTTCTTCTGGGTCTCTCACGTGGGTGCAGGGGCCCAAGGACTCGGGCCATCTTCTACTGCTTGCCCAGGTCATAGCAGAGAGCTGGATTGGAAGTAGAGCAGCCAGGACTTGAACCGGCGCCCATAAGGGATGCCGGCACTACAGGTGGCGGCTTTGCCAGATAAGCCACAGCACCAGCCCCTAGACTACTTAATCTGAAAGCCTTTTAACACTTGAAGATTCTATATGCAAATTGGATTGTTCATTCACCTACTAATACTCTGTGTTGGAGGTGCAGATGTAGGTACTCTCTAGCACCTGAACAAAACTGTTCTCAGAGTACATTGCATAAATATCTTATGACTGGTCAATGGGTTGGTTGATCGATTGATTCTAAGCCTGTCTGATCTACTGAGATTGTGTGATTGAAATAATCAGATCTCAGAAAACTGTTCAGACTAGGATAGTTGATAGGTACCATTTTTTCTGTATCTCCCTGAGATGAGTTCCCACCAGCAGGACAAGAGTCTCCACAGTTTCACAGTCTGGAGTCGGGGAAAGGATGAGCTATTGAGAACAGGATACACATGTCTGTCTTGCCCTCTACGTCTGAGCTTAGAAATGCACCTTTCCTGTCTCCATTTCCTGTTCTCTGAAAAGTGGAAAATGTTCTGTTAGATAATTAGCACACTGTCCGGAATGCGATTTTTATACTATATTGTCAAATTTAACAGGTATGTGAGAAATGCAATCTCTTCACTTGAAAATGGAAATATTTACTGTAAGATGACTTCCCCAAATAGACAGCATGTGTACTTCTGGGCCAGTGTTGTGGCATAGTGGGTAAAGCCTTTGCCTGTTATGCTGGCATCGCATATGGGTACCAGTTTGAATCCAGTTGCTCCACTTCCAATCCAGCTTCCTGCTAATGCACCTGAGAAAGCAGTGGAGGATGGCCCAAGTGCTTGGGGCCCTGCACCCATGTGGGAGACCTGTAGGAGACTCCTGGCTCCTGGCTCCTAGCTTCAGCCTGGCCCAGACCTGGACAATGTGGCCAGTTGGGGTGTGAACCACAGGGCAGATGGAAGATTTTCTCTCTCTCTCTCTCTTTCTTTCTCTCTCTCTCTGACTTTTCCCCTATCTCTCTCCCCCTCTATTACTCTTTCAAATATATAAAACAAATCTTAAGAAAATGTGTAAGCTTCTTTAATTTGGATCCTTAACTCACTGAAGTTCTTCACTGTTTAATCTCCATTGTTGAACATGGCATACAGTATGTGTTTATTAAATATTTTATTAATGTGAGTCTATTGAAAAAAATGAGAAATGTACTTAGTACATTAAGGTTGCATTTGCATGCTGCCAAAACATCTATTTGAAAAATGAAAACTTCAATCATTTTGATGCCAAATTATGCCACACATCTGGGAAACATTTGGAACGTTTTGCTTTCCTCCTGAAATTTTTGGTGTCCAACAGAGGCAAGCTTCCGGAAATAACTGCTGGTGTTTGTGGTAAGGGAGTGTGCGATGTGGGAGGCAGTATTCTGAAAGCAGATGCTGGGAGGCAGTATGCTAGTAAAGTTGAATTGGAAATTGGTTCACTCCTCTAAGCTGATTACCATTTAAATTCAGACTAGCTTTTTGATCACAATAAGGCAATTAACTCTAAGAGTTGTCTCAAGGTCCAATGTCCTGCACTCAATAATCTCACACCAGTAATTCAACAGGATGCAACTTCAAGAAAATCATCCCACAGCAACACAGTGGAATAGCAATCACCTATAAAAATAGAAAACATGAGGGCTTTGAAGCCACATGGAAAAATATTTATAGTAAGTAGTTAACTATAAAAAAGATTATAACATGTCCAACACTTAGCAACACAAAAAGATAAAATATGCATTTTTATTTATTGATCATTTTATTTTTTTCAAGATTTACTTATTCCTTGGAAAGGCACAGTTAGAGAGAAGTAGAGACAGAGATAGTCCATCCACTGGTTCACTGCCCAAATGACCACAACATCCAAGATTGGGCCAGGCTGAAGCCAGAAGTTAGGAGCTTCATCCAGGTCTCCTACATGGGTGCCGGGGCTCAAGGACTTGGGCCATCTTCTGCTGCTTTCCCAGGCACATTAGCAGGGAGCTGGATCAGAAGTGTAGCAGACAGGACTTGAACCAGCACCCATATAGGCTGCCAGTGCCACAGGTGGTAGCTTATTTTGCTATGTCACAATGCCATCCCTGATAGATGTACTTTGTTTGAAAGCAGAGACACACACAGAGAGAGAACATGTCCATCTACTGGTTCATGCTCCAAATGCTACAAATTCTCCCACTATCCAGGAGTGGACAGGCAGAAGCCATGATCTGGCATTTCAATCCAGGTCTTCCACGTGTGATGCAGGGATATAATTATCACCTGCTGTGTCCTGGGGTGTGTATTAGCAGGAAGCTGAAATGGCAAGCCGAATTGGGACCTGAACCCAGGCATTCTGATATGGGATATGGGCATCCCAAAAATAGCTGCCTAACTACTGCAGCAAATGCCCACCCATAGAAGATAAAATATAGATCAATAATGATTCACATCTTATAGTGACATACCTTGTCTGGTCATACTTTACCTGGCTTATTCCATGTGCTGCCCTCTCTACACCAAGCATTTGTAACTTCACACATGGGTAGCTTCAGCTGGCTAATGTTTACTTCTTTTTTTTTTTAATCAAAGCATTCTAGGGACAGTGTTGTGGTGTAGTGGACAAAGCCTCTGCCTGAGAAGCCAGCATCACAAATGGGCACCAGTTAAGAGACCCAGCTGCTCTATTTCCAATCCATCTCCATGTTAATGCACTTGGGGAAGCAGAGGAATATGGGCCAAGTGCTTGGGTCCCTGAACCCACACAGGAGACCTGGATCAAGGTCCTGGCTCCTGACTTCAGCCTTTAGCCTAGCCCAGCCCTGGCCATTGGAGAGAGAACCAGTAGATGGGAGATTCTCTCCCTCTCTCTCTCTCTCTCTCTCTCTCTCTGTGTGTGTGTGTGTGTGTGTGTGTGTTTATGTGTGTGTCGCTCTCTGTAACTTTTTCAAATAAATAAATAACAAACAAGTAGATAAAGGTGTTTCTTAAATCATTTATTCAACACTGATTGAGTTTATTCCATACCAAGCCTCAGCTGACATCTTCCATTTAAGGATTCTCATAGACTAATGGGGGTGGGGAAACACATCCATAAATAATTCTCAAATATACATTTAATATTTTGGCATAGTATTTTTGGAGTTTTGAAAGATAATTTGACAAAATGTTATATGAGTATTTGAAGAAATCTTGGGTGGTCTGCAATACACTATGCATCATTCCAATCCCCTTGTGCCAGGCAAAGCAATGGGAACCACGTGAAATGAGGAAGCCGAAAAAAAAACCATAAAGACAGGAGTCCTTGTTTCCTAAGGGGATGGTGCTTTTGGCTACACACCTCTTCAGAATGAGTCTTGCCCTCAAAAAAAATCAAGGCAAGAGAGATTTCTTATAATTTTATGTCTATTCAGGTTGAGATACTCATGTATACTATATATCTATATATACAACAAACTCAAGGAGCTAATGCCACGCTCCCCCTAAGTCCATATCTGAATCCTTACAGTTTTTCTTCTTTAAGTCCTGACCATTTTCCTCATTTTGTACGTTAACAAACCTGGATTGCTGGGCTTGTTTCTCTTCCCAATTAAAGATTCTATATTTTCCAAATTAAATATTACAATTTAAAATTATTGGAATACCTTGCCTTACCCTGGTGGTCCATAATTTCATTGTTCCCTACCAAGGGAAAGTTATGAAGGACTGACAGACCTGCGAGTTTTACTTAAGGAACCTACTGCTTGCCATATTTGGAGAGTAAAATGTCTCCACAGCTGGAGATGGCAGAGAATTAATGAGGATTCTTTCTGAAAAGGTGCTATCAGGTACATAAACCATTCGTGGGCATCAGATCTACATCTTCATCTGTTTCCCAGATACCATTGATAACTGAGCACATCCCTAGAAGTTGATGAAGCAAGTCAACAAAGTCAGAATGCCCAGATGCAAGAGAAATTATCAGGGGAACTCTCTTCTCCCCCATTTTGCTTTTAAAGGTATTTTTATATAATCTAGAACCAGTTTAATTGCTTATCAAAGGCCACCAAAAGGGTTAGTTGGAAGAGTATGTGGAAGGATTCTGGAAGTACAGGGCAGTTAGAAATAGCCTTTTGTGATTTAGATTATACAGAAGCTCAGATATTATTTATTACCAGTTTTGTCCTTTGCTAATTATTCCCACCTCCTTTGTCGCATGGGTAACTCGCTGCACAGAAGACCCCAAAAGTCAAGGCCTAGGAAACCAGCTCAATTTGTCATATTACAAGTTGACTTGGATGGTAATTAAATAATAATTGCTTTGATGAATTTTTCAACTGGTAGTGTTTTTTTTTTTTTTTACCTTTCATGCCATAGTAGAAAAATTATGTTTCAACAGTGTAGACATCCAAGGAATGGAAAAGTCATTTGAGGACAAAATGAAGGTAAAAAGAATGTGTGAGTAATCAATATATCACGGGAGAGGAAAAAACTTGGCACATGTCAAAATGGAAAACTAAACAGAACTGAAGAAAAATAGAATTTTCCATAACTTCAATTGCACTTCATTATCCAAATGTGTGCCCTTTTTAAATTATTAGGATTTTTAACAATCCAGAAGAAAAAAGAGCAAAGAGTAAAAGAAAATAAATCTTTCCATATTCGAAATTTGCAATATTAAAACTAGCCAACAAAAACACAGGATCACTTGGAACCAATTCCTGGCTGTAATTAAATTAGAATGTGTTTAAATTCTTAATGGTGTGGTATTTTACACTGAGCCTGAAATACACACCTAAACACTCAAGTCATCATGAGTTATTAACACAAAGTGTCCAATAACTGCAGAAGGTGTACAGCTATTATCACTCCTCCTTGACTAAAGAGCTCAATCATCCTCTCCAGTGGTCTAGCCACACAAACCAGAGTCACTCTCCCTGCAGCTTGAAAGGATTCAGAAAGCACTGGACCAGCTAAATGGCAGCCTTTTATCCTGACAAGAACTGGAAATAAACGCTGGGTTGTTTATCCTAAAGCGGGAGGGGGGGGGTGGTTCTTTTCAAGTTTTCTACCTGTCCACTTCTCTGCATGGAATAAAAATCTATTCAGTTCCCAAGAGACACAAAAGGCATGACCACAGTTGACTAATTGTTAATAGGAAGCCTTGACATCTAAGCCAGCTCACAGTGTAGGAAGCTAAGCCAGCCCATTTATTTATTGAGCTTATTTTGATAAGGATTTGCTGAAGTGTACACGTTCAACAACCCTTGGTGATCGGTTATAGTGATCTATAGAATTCAAACTGGTAAGAAACTGCATAGACATCAAGCAACTAACTATACAATCAAACTTTTAATTAAAATTAGGAATGGCTAAACCCTTTAACTAGCAGCTTTCATGGCCAGCACTGGGGCTCAGGGCTTTGGCAAGAACTGTGGTCTCTCCTCTCCAGACATTTTGGCATAGACTCAGGGCAGTTTTGCCAAATGTGTTTCAATGTGCTCTACCCATTGGGCTAATGATCCTCCTAATCATTGGGCCAGGCCCTGTAACACAATGTTCATAAAATATAGGTGCCAGAAAATGACAAAGTCGGAACAAACCATTGCTATACAATAATGCTGTGAGAATAAGAGAGAGGCAGCAGCTTTGTCACCTTGAGGACAAGGTGAATTAATCTTAGAATTCTCTTACCAGCCAAATAAACTTAAAGAGAAGGAGGGGCATTAATTAAAGAGTAGAAGCTAGTGTCCAGGTTGGAATTTGTTATCAAATAAACATTTTAAGATAATAACAAAAAGGAAAGCAATTTGATTCATCAAGGACTTTTTAAATGACTAAACACAGATCATGGCTAGAACTTGTCCAAGGCCCCATTTGGGGATCCCATAGCTCATCAGAGGCCAGGGGCAAAGTAAGAGTCAGAGGAAGAGTGAGCTGTATACAAAGAGTGCCCAAGTTAAACCAGAAAGGCCAGGCCACCTGACCCAGAGGTGGGAGTACAAGGCCAAGTTGAGAAATCAGAAGCCAGAGGCAAGGAACTGGGAAGATACAGAGGAGCAAAATAGAGGGTGGAAATAACGTCTTCAACAATTTCTGGCATTAGGGTTGTGGGTTAAAGGCTCATTTTTATTGATATGTGGCAGCTTGGGGCTTGGTTGAGGTAGGTGACTTTTGAAGATACAGGACAGGGAGGAGGATTTATGTTGGCTTTTAGAGGATTATTGTGATTGTAAAAATAATAATAATATCAACAGACACTACTACCTACTGAGCATTATTCTACATAGACAGAACTTTCTCTCCAATATTAGAGAAGATTAAAAGATGACTCTAAGACTGCTAACAGTATAGAAAACTTACTTGAAGATGTATACAAAAATATAAGAAACCATCTCTAAGAAGTGCTTTTGGTAAAGAGAGAAAAAGCTTAAGGAAAACAACAAGGTGAAGGTATATGATCCCAGGTAAGGAAGGAAACCATCGCTGGGTCCGCACCATCTACTGATTTCCTCTGTGACCCAGGATATTCAAGAGTTTCTATTCCTGTTTTCAAGAATGGAAATGGAGGCTCAGAGAAGTCACACGATTAACAGTGACCCACCCAATATCTGAGCCCAAAGCCAGGTCTCTTTCTGCCTTGTCTAGAGTAGTAGAACCAAAACATCCAGTCACTTCCTAAGTGATCATTAATTGAATAGCAAGACCTTGTTTATCTAGGATTTCCTCTTATATCACAAGTTAGGCCTACCACCAATATACAAGGACCCTCCAGATTCAGAGTTTGATTCCTGAAGCTGTCGGTTGCTGTTCTGCTTCTGGTCATGGGTCTATATTTCTTACAGGCTGGTAAATACTTACATACCTTGTTAGTCTGAAAGCCTGTCACTACCTCATCCAAAGTTTCCACATTTTGATATCAAAAAGCCAACTAAATCCAATTAGCAATAAATTTCTCTTTCCAGTTAAGGCTAAAAAACTCCCAGCTGCTAACCTGTGATTGAGCCCATAGACATGGATCCAAGAAGAACCCACAAAGAGGACTACTTGAGGTTTTCCTATTCTTCATCAACCTGAGCCCCTCCCCTCCTTGGCTGCCTCTTCCCCAGAGTATCTTTTTTACATACACACAAACTGTGTCCAGGCAGAGAGGCCCTAATCTTTCTTGAACAACGTGTGCCTTGGTCCTTACTTATTTCAGTAGAGGACATGAGGTCTCCAACCGCCGTAGCCACAAAATGTTGCATGGTCATAAACGCATTCCATCAGAAAGTAGAGAAAAAACACAATCGCAAAATGCAGAGTATCAACAATAGCTCATGTTTGTTTCTACTGCAATTTCCTCCATAATTTACCTAGGCGAAGAAAAGACAAAATCTTACTCTTAACAAAAGAGAAACAAATTGCTTGTCTGTTAACCAGAGGTAGCCTGGTGGCCTGACATAAGCCTTAGTGAACATGTCAAACAATCCTTCAAGGAGGTATTTAAGTCATCACAGTTGGCACTACTTATAAAAGACAACCACATCTTTTGCTTGAAGATTAAGAAGAAATGGAACTATTTCAGAAACATTCCAGAAATAAGTGAACTGCATGCTGACTCTCATTACTACACCTGATTCCCCCCAAAACACGATTCCTTTAAGAATTTTGTTACATGCCAAATTTTGTATCCCCACCCCCAATTCTTGAATTCTAACCCCGAGTACCCCACAACATGGTAACATTAGGAGACAGGGTTTTTAAGGAGCTTATTAAGTTAAGATGAGGTTGAGCCCTGATCCCGTAAGACAGGTGTCCTTGTAAGAAGAAATTAGGCCAGAGATACACCTGCAAGGAAGACCATGTGAAGACAGGTAAGAGTAAATGGCATCTATAAGATAAGGAGAGAAGCTGCAGAAGAAATCACACACACACACACACACACACACACACACCCCATATACATACACACATCCCTTGATCTTGGACTCCCAGGCTGTGGTGTTTTGTTATGGCAGTCTTAGAAAACTAATACAAAGGGGCCAGCATATGAGTGATGGTTCGAGTTTTGGCTGCTCCACTTCCGATCCAGCTCTCTGCTGTGGCCTGGGAAAGCAGTAGAGGGTGGCCCAGGTCCTTGGGCCTCTGCACCCACGTGGGAAGCTCCTGGCTCCTGGCTTCAAATTGATGCAGCTCCGGCTGCTGAGGCAGACTGGGGAGTGAATCAGTGCATGGAAGACCTCTCTCTTTCTCTCTCTCTCTCTCTCTTTCTCTCTGCCTCTCCTTCTCTCTGTGTAACTCTGACTTTCAAATAAATACATAAATCTTAAAAAAAAACTAATACAGAATCTCAAAGCATAGATGTTTGACATGGATAAATCTATTACAGACAACTGAAATAAATCTGCAATATGATTGATGGTGTACCATGATCATTTTAATCCAATTCTCAAGACAGCTGAAATAGAGCCATGCCATCGTTGAGTCAGATGAAAGACCATCTCCTACACACCCCTGAGACCCTAGGATGCAACAGAGTTAGGAAAACGAAGAGTTCAAGTGTCTGCTCTTGCATCTAACAAATTCCAGTGGTTATAATTAAATAAAGATTCTCTCTTGGGGTAGATATTTAGTGCAGTGGTTAAGATGCCACTCGCGACACTCACATCCCATATCTGAGTGTAGGGTCAAGTCCCAGCTCCTATGTTTCCTATCCAGCTTCCTACTAATGCACACCCTGGGAGACAGCAAGTGAGGGCTCGAGTACTTGGGTCCCAGCCACCTACATGGGAGACTAAATGGAGTTCCAGGCACCTGGCTTTGATGCAAGCATCTGAGGAATAAACCAGCAGATAGAAGATTGACTCTCTCTCTTTCTCTCTCTCTCCCTCTCATCCCTGTGTCCAATAAATAAGCAAAATAAGCAAATACATAAAATTTAAAGAAAAAAAAACTCTCTCCCCAGATTTGTTCAACAGCATCTTGAGTGGTTTGCTCACTCCCACCCTTACCCATTCCAATCCATTCTCCTCATGGCAGTAAGGTTACCATCTCATCTATTAAAAGCCTCCAGTGGCTTTGCATTAGACTTAGAAGAAAATCCAGACAGTCCTCCATGCTCGAGTCCCCCACGCTCTCTATGGTCAGCCCCACACTGTCTCTCCAACTCGAGCTTGGGGAACTTCCTACCTAGCATTACACATCTGCTCAGCACTTTCTGCTCTTTTGGTGAGACACACTTCATAGTCAAGTCTTCCCAGCCTCAGTTCACTGTTTCAAAGGATGCTCTCCAACTACTCTCCCACACCACACCTGTTAGCCTCCACCTGCCTCCTGCCTAATTCCTTCACATAAACTATTATAACTGCAAATATTTTATTTATATTTACTCTTCTACATACTTGTCTTTTCTCCAATCACAAGGTCAGGGCCCTGTCTGACTTATCACCATTGTAGTTCCATAGTTAAATGAATGAATGGATAAGTAATACAAAGGGTAGAAGCACTTTGTAAACAGTGTTCTACAAATGCTAATTATAATTATTAGATTTAAGACCTATTAAAGCAGGACCCATGTCTGCTTGTATCTCCATGCCTCATTTCCCCAGTAAAAGGTAACTGCATTGATTAATTTGTTCATTATTTGAAAGTGTTATAGAGAATGGGTTGCCACAGCAAACACTTCATGATCTATGACAATGGGTGTGTTTTAAAATACTCTCACATTACTTAGCTTACAATTGCCCTGTGGGTGGCATTTTCATTCCCAATTCACAGAGTAGGATGTTGAGTCTGACATTAAATAAACTTGGGTTCACAGAGATAGTAAGTGGTGGGACCAAGACTTTTCCTCACTGCCCACTGCTGCTGTCTCAAACTGCTTAGTGACTATCTTCCCAAGGTGACACTGATAAATCAAAGCCAATGGCCAGAGAGACCAGGCACTTGTGAAGAGAGATGGCCATGAAGGTTTGCTGAGGAGCAGTGAAGCAGCTTCTCTCGCACTGGGGCCTTTTTGAGCCAATCAGGGAAGATTTTCCTTGGTAGTCTATTTTTCCTTTTTTTTATCAACTCCAGAACCGGAGCATATTTTGCTATTACAGTCTAAAATATTCCTGTCTTCATTCCAATTTGAGGCAAGTTTCTCCAAAAGTTATTTTGATGTTTACAGTACAGTGCTCTATTTTTGGTCAATGAAAAATTATAACATTATGTCTTTGGGGTATAGTTCCTTCCTGCACAGAATTATGTTTTTCCATCAGAAGATAGTTCTTCGAATAGTGTTTCATTTCTGAAACAGATTTTGTATTCTCTTTAGATGGCATTTACAAAATTATTTTGTTAGAAAAATGGATTTTTTGGTCAAAGTTGAGTGAAAAGTGTCAAAATATGCAAAAAAAGTTCTCCTAAATAGTTAACTTTAATGAACAAGATAAAAAAAAGTCAATGTAAAAATGAGCAAAACATATGAGCATAAGTTCACAGAATACAAGCAATTGTATAGTTAGTGAACCAAATGATGCAGAATAACTTTAACAAATCAATGCTCATTAAAGCACTATTTATCAAAAACACTGTTAAACACTTTAAAAGTTGAAAATATCTATATAAGCAAAAGTATTTTGAGGTATAAATATTTTGAGGTATAAAATAATCATGACAGGATAATTTTACAATATCCATTTGATTTTTTAAATGTGTATTCTTGTGATTACATATCTAGAACTACATCTTCTTGAACTACTAGCATAATTATATGACATCATAACAAACAATTATTACATCTAAATAATTTTACATTTGATTTCACAAAGAAATGCTACTTAGGCATCAGATACTGGCCACAATGGATGCAAGCTTTCATTTGGAAAATTTAATCAATAAGAATTGAGTAGAGGCTAAATAACAAACTCTTACTGAATGAGACTGAAAAACAGCTCATTGTAAGAGATACAGCACTTCCTTCTACAGGTGTAATATAATCTGACAAGCTTCCTGTCAAGGAAGATCCCAGTGGATGCCTTGTGGCATATTCCATCATCCAGATGGGACAAAGGAGTGCCAACACTGAGGGAGAAAACAAATGGCTCTATAGTGAGGATAATAACTGAAAATAGCATTACTGATAATTATAATGATATTGAAAGTTCAGTGTGTGCCAGGCACTGTTCTGTTCACCCTTTGTGGATTATCCCATTCAATCTCTTCAGCTCTCTGATGCAGCTCTTCCTATTACACCTCTTAATGGTCAATGAGAAAGTAAGTTACCTTTTCAGGGCACCACACTGACCCAAAACTTTACATGTAACTGATAAAGACCAAGTCCCAATACAGAGCAAGCAGCTATAACTCAGACTCATACCAAGTTCTATAAAGATGAGATATAAATCAGTGTGATTAGGGGAGAATGTTTGATCAATAAGAATAAAACTATTTCCTTGGACAAAGCCAACAGATTGAACAGTCTACCATGTAACAGACTTAGATCAGAGTCTGTCCAAGCAGGTAGTCAACTCAGAATCTGCACAGAAGAGGCATCCAAGTTGCACACACTAACATCCTGAGTCAGAATTCATCATTTGTTCATTCAACAAATTTTTGTGAATAACTCCAGTGTTTCAGGTATTCTCTGGACACTGAGAATAGAGTAGTGAACAAAATAGACAAGAAAAATATTGCTCCATATTGAGTTCATATTCATGCATATAGATAAAACACTAAAATCAATAAGTATGCATATCAGCTGATGAAGAGTAATTCAAATGAAAATAAAGCAGGGGTAGGTGTATTAGCCCATTTGAGCCGTTAAAACTCAATACCACAGAATGGGTAATTTCTGCACAACAGAAATTGATCTGGTACAGTTCTGGGAGCTGGGAAGACCAAGATCAAGGCAGGAGCACATCTGATGACTGGTGAAGGCCCCTTCTTCAGAGATGGCCCCATCTAAGTATTCTCACACAGCAGAGTGAAAAAGTGATCCTACTCCTAACAGCATCCAATGAGGCTCTGCCTTCAGGAATTAACCACCACCACCACCCCCCGCCAACGGCCCCATCTCTCAATAGCAGACACATTCAGACCATAGCAGTAGGACAGTAAGAGTGCTGACTCAGGAAGGGGACAGGGGATCACAGGCGTATTAACCATTTTCACAACCTTTATCGGTCAGGACAGATCACCCTGAATCACCAGGCAACTAAATGCACCAAATCATCCTGCTAGTGGAGAAATAAACAGAGTAAGAACAGGAGTAATAAATAAGTTATGTACATTGCCACTTTTATACCAAGCTTTAGTGTGAGAGTCCTGATTAATAAATATGTGAATGCTGTATGAGTGTTGTCTGCTTTCAAAAGTGTTTAAAGCCTTTACAAGAATATGATAGATGTCTCATAATTTTAATTAAATATTTAAAATCTTAGATTTAACTAATACTCATTGTTTACACATTTGGGAAAATGTAATTTGTTAAATTCATAATTTTATTTGTTGCATAAATAGTATATATAGAGTTGAACTTATTTTAAGCTTCTATGCTTTTTAAAATACGATTCATATATTCATAAGACTAATAAATTGGACACTGAAAAAAATGCAAAGAGAACTGAGTGCTTCCCTCCACAAATAGAAGCCCCTCAAAAATATTATATCTGATAAAACTAAGGTTAAGTAACCCACCCACACCAGGGATTCAAACGAGACCACTAAACTAATAGCTTAAAATCATCTAAAGTTCATAGTGCAAAACCTGATAGAGTGGACATTTAATGTTCTCTTGTCCCAATCTCAGCCTAAACCAAACTGCACAGGTTATCAGGGTGATCTGAAGTTAGGCAAACACAGGTACATGCTGACAGGTCATTCCAACAGTATGAGGCAGTGCTAATACGGTCTTTCTCATCTTCCTTCCCTCCTAACACTTGAGTGATTTGATGTGGTCATTTCACTGGTAGAAGGATCTGAGGAGGCAAAAGAATCAACTCGTTGGTGGTTGTGGCTGGCCATCTCCAAAGACAGCCCTCTAAGGAACCATCCGCTCCTCCGCCCATGACTGTGAGGAGTCTGCTCCCCATGCACCCAGGCTGTCCCCGTGACTCACAACCATAGAGTGAGGCAGAAGTGGCTCTGGAGGACTTTCACATTGGTTTCTTATAGCACTTGCTCTGGGAAGAAGCAAGGCCTTGTGGGAGCAGATGACTACCACGTGGGCTTCTTCACATTCCCAGACCACTTCTCTGTGCAGAAGCCCAAGCTAGCCACATGTTGAGGCAGCCAGAGAGAGAAATGCCCAACCACCCCTGGCTCTTCCAGGCCAAGAGCTGGAGGGTGAGCAGTGAAGCCTTCAGGTGTCTCCCGCCTCAGCTGCCTGCTGACTGCAGCCAACAAGCAAGAACTGGGGGTCGAGTTCATCAACCCCAAGAACTGTGAGGGATCACAATAAGCCACTGTTTTATACCACCATGTTTCAGAGTGGGTTTTATGCTAAAATGGATAAACGGTGATTACCCTGCAAGTATTCAATTTGGCATTTTCTCAATGTGGTTTTTAGTTAATGAACACTGTTTGCCCAGGTATTAGCTATACATTGCTAAATGATCATCGGCCATGTTTTTTTTCTACTCTATCCATACTAAGAATAGTAATAACATACACTTTATCTAATTTTTCAAAATTATCACCTATTATGATTCCCAGACAAACAACATTCTCTTTCTCCATTTTCAGGAAATAGTTGAAAACTAACTTAATAATGAACACTTTCCAAGCAATGTTCCATTCTAGAACTCATGGGAGTTATAAAGTAACCCCAAGCTAAGAGGGTGGAATGGCTCACCCTTTTAAATTCTTTATATCTTGAGGTCTTTGATTTAATCATTATTTTAAAAAAATCAAATCACACAGTGCTCTTAATAAAGCATTATTATTACAAGGAAAAGGATAAAACTTTCCAAATGCAAATGTTTTGCTGGGGTTGAGTTGTAAAAGATTCCAAGACATTAGTCAGGAGATGGATTGCTTTGCTATTACAAGTCTGGGTTACAATATCACTGGAACCAAATTCCCGTCAGATTAGTCTTTACTCAAAATGAATGTTTGTAATTATGAAATGAAATAAGTTTTAATTTGAATTGCCTAAAAAGGGGAAACCAAATATTGTGTAATTACAGGAGAAGAAATTTGAGATGGAAAACAAGATAGTGTTATTTACAAGTAAAAAGGCTTTTATGGGATTATGGGGCTTTAATGTGCATATTTGTAGGATTTGGGGTGGCAGAATTTGGAACTGAAATATTTTTCATCAGCGTTTATTTACAGTGTGCATGCAAGAAATGGAATCCTAGACACATCTGATATTGGGCTTCTTTAAACCTTTTATATCCCTACTAAATCTGAAAAGACTCAATGTTAGCCACATATAATGGAAGTAATCATGGAGTGTGATAAAATAAGTATTTGAAAACCACATGCAACTTTTAGGCTCAAATCCAGAACTATAAAATCCACCAAGAGACATAATGAGCTTGCCTCTCCTTCTTGGAGGAGTAAAAGAAGAAAGGGGAAACAGGTCACTCTTTTCTCTCCACCATGTGTGGCACCTGAAGTGGAGCCCCCAAGTGGCTTGTAAGTGCTTTATTGCAAAGGCCGCCCAGGAGCACCATTTTGCTTCTCTGGAGTGCAGCCATTTCTTATCGTTGGCACCGTGAGGCATACACGACTTTTTATTGAGATCTTACCTATAGCCTGTCCTCTCCTAAAGTCCCATTGCTCACCTCCAAGACCCCAAGACCATAGGATGTAGGTCTGTTCCAGTCATGCTTCCCACAGCCTGGACGGCTCAGCTTGGGTGACTCTGAACCTTTTACCCCAGCCTTTTCTGGGATACAATCTTCCTGCTGAAGATCCCCTTCCTCTGGCAGGGACACACTAACCTACACTACAATATCCTTCTCAGACGTATTGTCTCCTTGGAAGGTCTGGCAAAAACAGCTCATCATTCACATAATGTTTCTGTGCCTCTTCATTGTGAGGTTATTTCAAAACGTTCATGAGAATTGGGTGTTGCCCTTTAATTCCATCTTTGAATGAATTTTTAGAAGCTCTTTCAGCTGACTGCACAGCTGTTACTAGAAAGTGGTTGCCCAGCCAGAGTCCCTTGCAATTGGGTGTGATCATGTGATTCAGTTTTGGCCAATAAGAAACAGACAGAAGGGATAAGCATCACTGTTAAGTTTACCCCATAGACACTTTGCAAGCAGTTCTTCTTCATGCTCCTTTCCCCATTCAGCTGCCTGGAAGGGAGATAACCCCGGTATGATTTGGCAAATCTCCTTTAACCTGTATCCCTGGATGACATAATGGAAGAGGGCTACCTACACATACATTTCCCTTCCTAATAGAGTGAAAGAGCAAGAAACGCCCATGCTTGGGTCTTTGGTTTTCATTTATTTGTTTTTAAACTGCAATTATACTACCTTAAATACTAGTCAATCCCACAGAACATTCTCTAATGACAGAAACTCAGACAACTTGTGGCTGATTTGGGAAGGTCAAAGAAATTTCCAATTACAATGGCCTAATTCAAATTAGAGAACTATTTTAATAGCCCTCCAGCAAAATCAGCTACCAGTCATATATGCTTTTGTGTATAGATGTTGGAATGGGTGAGTTAGAGACCCAGCCTTCTGGCTGTCTTCCTGCCCAAAGCTTTCTTTAGCCTATTTCCTCCATGTTCACACTCCCCAGTCATTTCTTAAATTTTTATTTATTTATTTTCATTTTGTTTGAAAGGCACAGAGAAAGTCAGAGATCTTCCATCCTCTGGTTCAGTCCCCAGATGCCTGCAATAGCCAAGGCTGGCCACACTGAAGTCAGGAGTCTGGAACAAAGTCTGAGTCTCTCATGTGGGTGCCAGGGACTCACGTACATGAGCCATATCTTGCTGCTTCCCAGGGTGCCCACTTGAAGGAGGCTAGATTGGAAGCAGAGGAGCTGGAATTTGAACCAGGCATACCAATATGGGACTTAACTGTGGTGCCAAATAATTGCTCTCAGTTATTATTGAACCTCAGATACTTTCAACAAGTTTTCCAAGCATTTCAATGTAGCAATTTGCTGATCAATAAAAATCTCTTGTGTCGTGCTCCATCAATTGTTCATACCTTCATTCACTCAAATGCTTATCCAATACCACAAATATCAAGCATTATGCTAGGCGTTGACTGAAAAGCTTACTGCTTACTGGTACTGGTATTGGAGGAACAGTCCTGAGAATAGATAACAGTTGTAAAACAATCAGATGAGTAACAGTACATTTATCATCACAGTTAAATTTGTTGAGCACATGTTAGTTGCATGCCAGATGCTATGCTCAGAACTTAATATTCTTCATTTTATTTAATCATCACAACCACCTTGCTGTGGTTTGAATGGCCCCACCCAAACTCTGTTGAAAATTAATCCCTATTGTGAGGGATTAGAACCAGGTGGGACTTTGATGAAGTGATTGGGCCATGACAGCTGTGCCCTCATGAGTAGATTAATCTACTGATGGATTAATAAATTAGTGCAGGAGTGGCTTTGTTATAAAAACAAACTCTCTCCAGCCCACTTTCTCTGTCTTGCGTGTGATGCTCTCTACCATGTCATGACCCAGTGCCTAAGCCCTCCCCAGATTCCAAGTAGATGCCAGCACTTTGTGCTTGGCTTCCAGAACTATGAGCTAAACCAACCTCTTCTCTTTATGAAGCACCCATTCTGTGGTATTCAGTTACAGCAACAGAAAATGGGCTAAGACAAAGTCTACCTGCTTGATACAAATAGAAAATCTGGACTCAGCACCCTTAAACAACAGGTAGAATTTACACAAGTAACTACTCTCGGGGTTGGGATTTAAACAAGGTCTGTCTGATTCCAGAATCATTTACTAATGGTCTGACTTTGGACGTGCTAGTTAAATGCCATAAATCATCATTTATAATGGTAAGTGTCATCTCAGTCCCACAGAAAATAACTTCTATTCAGAGTTAAATTGCCAGGCTGAAATATTCACATGCCCTGCCAATAGAATACTGTCTATGTACATTACAACTAAAACTATGGCCTCTTGAGTAATTTGATTGCATTTAAAATGGCATTGGGAATGGTGGAAGAAGCTTAAATAAATATTTACAATGTTCATGTTATCACAGAATTGTCTAGATGATGCCACTAACCTTCATGCAAACTGAGACACCTCTTCCCCTACACCGTGAAGGCATCTCCAGACTTCATTTTTATAAACAAGACAGTCATGAGAAGATGACCACCCATGATCCCATGACACAGGAGGGCTCCCGCCTCATGAGCCCATGTTGCCATGACTGTGGCTCTGGAAGTACCCATAAAACAACAACTGCTGATAGGTTTCTGGGCTGCAAGGTGCATGCTATCAAGAGGCCACTCCGTGGAGTCTGGCTTTGTGCCACACTGCACTTGATGGAATACCTGCACTCCACATGCTGATTTAGGTTCAGTCATGGGTTAAGAGCTGAGCATACCCTGGAGAACAGAGAAATACACATTTGGAAGAGACTTGGAGACTGTGATGGAAAAGAACCAGGGAGGAAGGACCCCTGGGTAATTAGGGAACAAAGCCAATCGGTGCCTGTGGATTAAGGACTAATGGGCATTTGGAATTATCTGCTCCCAGGCTACAGGTCTAGAGTGCCTAGAGTCAGCTGTGGCTCTCAGAGATCAACTGAAGTGGTCCTCCATGGTGGAACAGATAAAGGAGTCTAACCAAATGACAACTTTATTTGATAAGCCAGGAACAGGAACACTACTGTTCTCTAAGGAAAGTGGAGTGTGTTGGCTTTTTTTTTTCATATCTTTTTCAGTTGAGCTAAATAGTAAGGTTGTTAAGAGTGAGACTTCTGGGGTCAGCATTGTGGTGCAGTGGGCTAAGCCACTGCCTGGAATG